TGAAATTCTGTGTAATTGGTGTTGTTCATTAGAAGGAAATTTATGTTTTTTGAAGATTAGATCATAATATGAAACTTTGTGCGAGTCTTATAAAAAAGAGAAGAAAATTCCTCTAATATTTGAAAGGTCATAACAAAACCATTTAGATAGCAATGCTATCTATCACAAAATATCGTTTTATCGAGAATGATCAAAAGCACTTCGGAAGGTAGAGATTTCATAGTTAATGAAATTAATAAAAAAATTCTCCCCACCAACAAAGAATGATAATGCACTACCAGCGAACCTTTAGAGACCTCCCTTGGCATGTTTTCTCAAGGAAACAAGCTAAATTCTAGCTAATATAGTTCATTTCATGATCTTGTAGATATGCTCCTTATATGTCGGGTTTCTTAAAACTCCTTGTCATGTATTTAATGATGCTAATTCTTATTGTTGTACAAATGTTATCAGTTTTCTAATCTTGATTACGAGCCAAGTTAATTGCACATTGTTTCATCAATACATACCCAGAATGTTGCACCTCCATTGCCTCCAACTGAGGGGCGAGTTGAAATTGTCATCAATAATGACATCATTCGACAACTTGATTTGTCCCCTGTTTTTACAATCAATGGAGGTACCTCTTCACTAACAATAAATTAGTTTGGCAAATAATGTATATATATATATATATATGCAAGCATGAATATGAATTATATATTCTTGTTCTTTATTTCTTTCCTTGTACTTCAGCGAAGCCAACATTGCTTTTAGAGAAGACAGTTGGTTTCACCATCAATTATGAAAGGAAAACCATATGACAATCATGAGCTATAAGAATTTCATTATATTAGGCTTTAGTTTGTGAGGCTTGATGCTTTGTATCCCTGGTTTCCCGTAGTATTGGACTGGAGAGCTGGAGAACTTGCTCGGTATGCGGCAATGCTTGTTCCTCATCAGGTAAGTTTTATTTTCGGCTAGTTTAGCTCACTTTGATTGTGTGCCTACAAATTTAAAGTTTTTTACAAAATTTTTAGGTTTGTTGATTTTGCATCATATTACACAAGCCTTGGTGAGCCAGAGAAACATTTTGAATATTATCCACCTCATAGTTTCATAATCTTCATAGGTATCCCATAAGAATGAATAGATCTTACATGATTGACATATTTTTTTCGCTTTTACAAAAATTTAGCTTTAGTATGTTGACAAGTACCAGAAAAATACTAAGCAAGCATTACTAGATGAGTAGCAAGAAAGGCAAAGAAATGAGAGAGAGACTGGCACATAATAAGAACTTACTCTTTGGCTTCATTTGGAACGGATTTCTTACTGTTTTTTAAACAACTTTTTAGTACAAAAGTTAAAATTTTTGTACTCAAAAGCTGCTTTAAAAAACAGTAAAAAAGCAGTCTCAAACGAAGCCTTTATCGCACGTGTGGAACATTTGCTTTGAACTTACAAGTAGTACACCCAAAAATCAAATGTTCCCGTGCCTTAAAATTTACAGTCTTTTTTTTTTCTACAACTGCCTTTCTTTGCTTGACTGCTAGCGTTCTGATTATGGGAGGAATTTATGACAGATGAGCATGACAAAAGGCATCGTGTTTAACCCAGAGGCTCTCGAGTTGTTTGTGCTGAATAAGGTATTTATTGTGCATGCTGGTTGAAGCAGCAAAAAATCCCAAAACGTGAGCTGAAAACAAGCGACATGGCCAGAATGCTTGGCTTTGGAATAGGGGAGGAGTTGTTTAACTTGATTGAAAAGCATCCTCTGAACATATCATAGTTCCTTGGAGATCATACAATGATGCTTCTTGGATGTTCTCAGTGTTTTTGACTTGCTTGCATTTATTAAAATAGAGTATGTGTTAGAAGAATTGGAAATATTTGTATAAAAATTCGAAATGTTGATCAAAGTTGTAGTTGGTAGAAGTTAAAGTATAGAATAAAATAAAAGGAGGTAATTTTCATTAATAAAAGAAGCCTTGGATACCAAATAATTTATTGAACTAGGGTAAGGCTGACAAGGGATATTAGTGTACTTCTAATGCTTGCTGCAAATATGTTTTATCCAAATAGATGTCTTTTGAATTTCAATTTAGGCAAAGTTCAATGAAATAGCTATGTTGTATATAAATTATGAGAGTAAATTTTCAAAATCCCATAGGCTTATTTGGTACATTTTAGTGCAAACAAAATTTAGTTAGTAGTATAGATTGTTGTAAACTGCAAGTTTATTTTGGCTTATAAGAACTATCTCATGGGATTATGACTTAGTTGTTTATGCCATTGTTATGGTAAGTGATTTTTCAATTGATTTCTTCTTGTGATTTTTAGGAAGCTATGGAAACTCAAATATAATCTTGACATGTTGACTCTCGAATGGCTTCTTTCTATTCAAATTCTCTTGTATCACATATTTTGATAGAAAGTGTATGGTTGGTCCTTAGTGTGTAGTAATGATAAGCCTTTTATATTAAAAATGTGTATTATGGATTTTAAGCATGTTAAAAAGGATTTTGTTAGCATCCCCCTATGTTATTGGAATCAAGAGGGAATTTGTAAGATTGTCAATAAAATAAGTGCTCTTTTTTTGTTGATCACTAGCCTCCGAATCATGTCTTATATTTATTAGGGTGTGTGTTCAAAATATTTTCCTTCCCTTTTACTTGAGGAAATTCTTATCATTCAAAATGTTTATAAGGTCCTAAAGGAAATTTTATAAGATTGGAATCCTTCAACTTGTTTGATTTGTAATATTTTTGCTCATGATTATGATAGTTGTTCCACACGTCATAGCCACCAACGTCTTCCATCATACGACCCTAAATAGGAAAAGATCTTTATGATTGTCCCATGCTTAGTAAGTAAACTTCGCCCACTCTTAAAATATCTTATTCAGGTCAACCTCAAATACCTTACAAGCCTACCAAGCCTCGAATGCATCTCTATTACTCAATGTCAAGCATATGCAACTTAAATCTAGACTATGCTATCAATCCTTGTTATGCCTTTATCTTCGCCGCTTAACCATAATTCCTCTATAAGTGTTGTCATATTAGGCTCCTTTATCTTGTCAATGATCATGTCCAATTTGAAGTCCTTCATCATTGGCCTCTTACTCCTAACTCTAAATTTAAATTATTCATATTTTACCTAACACTCAGCCTGGATGTGAGGGTCTTTGTGTAGAGGATAAATTTTTTGAGTGGAACAATTTTGTGCACTTACATTATATAAAATTCTTATTCTTATTTCAAATCAAAATCCAAATTTACAAACTACCTGACCCTCTAACCATAAGAGGATGTGAAGTCTTTCTCAATATGGATTGTTGTGATAATGTTGAGGGTCTCCTATATCTTAGAATTTCGATCAAATTGGATGCATCAAAGATATAATTTTATTCTCTTATTGCTTGACTAAAATTCTCATGACAAGGTAGATTTCTTTGGCTAAAAAAAAAAAAATTAGAATACTTTGATGAAGATTATTAATTCTATTGACATTTCCTGGAGAATTTAGGTGACATAAACTATATTAGAATTCTTGAGGGAAAGCTTAGAGGTAATATTGGACCTTCGAACAAGTTAGATTTCATTTGAGATGGTTTTCTTACTATTTTTTAAATTAGGCTCTTAGTACAAAAATTTCTAGTTCAAGAAATTTTTGTACTAAAAAGTCGCTTTATGAAGCAATAAGAAAGTTGTTTCAAATGATGCCTTAGTGAACTTTAATGATCGCATTTTTTTCAAATCGAGCACTACGTAATTCAGCTTATGGGTACTACCTAGGGAGAATTAGTAGGTATAGGAACTAGCTATTAATAGTAAATATTATAAAATTAAAATAGAACTATTTCAATGATATCTTTGCAAAAGGGTAGCAGGTCAAATGAAATATGCATTTCATTGATATAAGGAGGATTCATTCACTTTTTATTTATTTTTTAATAACTTTGGACTATGTTGATCATTAATTTATCTCAACAATTCAATATTTTTTATTACTCACCAAATTTTGAAGTATGTTAAAAAAACTTTCTAATTGCACTTATTTCCAAACATTCACTTATTAAAAAATTTTAATAGTTTTAATAGAGACTCTTTTCTTATTAGGTTGGGATAGATAAATTTAATAAAACTCTGCTTCTCCTTAGAGAGTTTTGCTCTTCTCATTCTCCCATACTACTATCTATATTTTGAACTAGAAAGTTGCTTTAAAAAGCAGTAAGAAAGTCGTCCCAAACGAAGCCTGAAGCTAAATCATCATTATTACACATGTCATATTGGTCTGTTAGGAGTTTTGGTTAAGTACCAATCAAGAGGTTTTGGATTTGAATCTTGTGTATGTGACGTGTGTATAAATTTGCCTTAATTAACCTAAATGTCCAAAAAGAATTATCATCATAACCAATTATAAATATCAAAAGATCATAATTATGATATTAGTATAGCAATTACAAAAAATTATATATCATTTGTATTGCCAAAAATAATGAAGTTTATATAACTTCTAGTTTAATTTTAGATTTGTAAATAAATAAAGATTTTTATAGTAATATTACATTACTTATAAATTTTAGAAGTTTATCACATTTTAATTAGTTATTTAAATTTAATGCGCATGTAATTAAATTAATGTATAGATAAAATTAATTCCAATTTTTCTTAACCCATATCAAAAGAATTTAAACGCTTAGTTAATTTTCTTGCATTAGAGAATTTTATAGGAAAAGTTGAATAATAATCATTAAATTATTTTGAAATAAGTTCATAAATTTTAATTAAATATTTATATATTTCATATTTATCTCCAAATTAAAATACTTTAATGATTTAAAGATTTAACATAATCAAATTTTATTAGAATATCCTACTTTATTTTTTAAAATTATTTCACTATTAACATTTCATTTCAGATAATTATAATTAAATTTAATTGATTAATATTATATTATATTCATTCTGAATTTAATTCTCCTTACAAACATTTTAGCTATATATAAGCTAACCAAAAAAATTTTCCTCTCGCGGTTTCTAGGTCGTTCTCCTTAGAAGCCCAAGCGCCAAGGGCTCGTTTCTCAGCTACTCCGAACTCCGCGGATTCTTCGTTCAGTCTCGGCGCGAATCTTCAATCGCCAATCCTGCCGGCAGTCAGCGGACGAATCTTTTTGTCGCCGCCCTGTTTCCGAAAATTGTCAGGGGAGCGGGTGCTCGGAGGCCAATGGGGGTCTAGAAACGGAATGAATTCTCGGTGTCGATTTTGTTAGAGACTATAGCGAAAGAATTAGGAAGAAGGTGGGAGATGGAAAGTGGAAGTGGGGAACTGGTAAAGGAGGTAATCTTCGAGACTCGCCAGCACGCCGCAGGGGTTTTCGCTCCAGATTTTTCTCAACTGGAGACGGTATATCACTTGCCGAATTTTAGTGCAGTTCGAACTAAATTGTTGAAGTCCTTGTTACTATTATTTAACAATGTTGTGTGTGTGTGTGGAAATCAGGGAAGCGGTACGTCTAGAAGTGGTTTAACATCTTATCTCTCAATTCAAGGTTTGTGTTGTTTATTTATTATTATTATTATTATTATTATTTTGGTAGAAGTGAGAACGAAATGCAATTATGAGTTGGAGTGCCAGCAGAGGCAAGGAGCGAAAGCTCCTAACCAATTGGCTACGCCTTCCATTCGCATTCAAAGTCTGCTGCAGTTTTTATTATTATTTCTTTTATTTTTTTTTTTTTTACTTTGTGGAAATTCTGAACAATGGTGTATGGTGCGGATTCAAGTCGATAAATTGGTCTTTTGCTTATGAAATAGAAACGAGTACTCTGGAGTTTTCAAATTAAATTTATGTTTAGTTTTGACTTTTGAGAGAACATTCTGAGATTGTTTTCTAATTTATGAGCACAATGTTGCATGATCACTCATTTCCTAAAGAATTGTACCAAAAAAAAAAAAAATCCTATTATCCAAAGTATTTGTTAGTTCTAATAAGTTTAGTGATTGAAGGTAAATGGATGCAGTGTCAAATATTCTGCTCTACCTCAAATACAAACAATAAATAGTGAAAAAAGCTTCTAATTTCCTCCTTTAATTTCACCTCTTTTTTTTTTTTTGTAGGTGTGAAACATCTTAAGCAGAAATGGAATGAATATTGGAGACCAAGAAGGTCTAAGAGAAAGATGGCACTTTTTGTTTCCCCTGATGGCGAGCACGTTGCTCTAGCTTTTCAAAATCAGCTTGTTATTTTGCAGAAGAATGATGATTATATGGAGCCATGTGGTGTTTATAATGGTAAGTAGATTTTGATGATTTCCTTTTAAAGCCTTAACAGAAGAAAGTAATGTAGCATGCTGTTTGGATGGTGTATTGTTTTCTCTTGCTCTTGTCTTCTTTGTTTTTCATGTGGACTCTTTCAGTAAAATGTCAAAAATGTTCCCTTTTTTCTATAGTTTCATTCATCGAAGTTGATTTGTTCTCTTGTGAAATTCAACTAATTAGTAGGAGGCGTGAAATTCATTTTCCTTCAAAAATTAAAATATGGATAAAACTTCCATCAAACCAAATATCTGTAATAATACTACAACAACAACATCATCAAGCCTTTGTCCCAAATATCTGTGATAATGAAAAAAAAAAACTATTAAGGTGGCTAACTGTATTTTTCAGCTTGAGCTCTTACAGCTCGCAAATTCCTAATATTGACTATATCATTACTTTTGTCAGTTACTACAATAGATTCAAGTTCTATTTTTGCATATCTACTTGCTCCTGTAACTCTCTTTTTTTTTTCAGTGGGGTAGTCAACAAAATTAGTCAAAGAGACATTATATTCGATACAAAATTTTGGCTTAAAGTTGTTGTAGAATTTCCTACATTCTTGGTTTCATCTTTTGAAGTCCTGCATAAAGTCCTCATTTTATCCAGGTTATATTTTTTTGCTCAAGTCTTAGCTACAGCCTCTAAGTGGAAAAAATTATTGGAAGACCTCATTGAACAAATTATTGGAAGTGATTTTTTGTGCTCTAATGATGCGGTGCATCTTAGTTAAAGAGGACCTTAGGAATAGCTTATCTAATTTAGTACCTTTTTCTAGAGAGTTCTAGGCATTTCTATTATATTGTTATAAATAGCTGCTATAGGTAGAAGAAAAGCATGAATTAGTATTTTTGGAATTTGAAATAGTTTTCACTGTTTTTTGGTCTCCAAGAGCTGTTTAGCTCTTCTTCTTCTCCATCATGCTTCTTTGGTGATTCTCCCCACATCATCTTTTAATGTGAAATTGCTACTTTAATTATCTTGAGTTCTTTAACTATAAGATTTGATTCCACAATTTGTTAATAAATTGTTTTTACGTTAATGTCAAAATGGATAATGTGATTGATTTTTTTCCTTTAATTTATTCTTTCTACTTTAGGCATGCGCACTTTCTGCACGTGCATGCTACCTACGTTCTTAAAATTTCTAATCATTATTTTGTGGAATCAGGTGATGACAGGTTAGCTTTTTTTACTAATGGAGCTTGGATGGAACCTCAGGGTATTCTTGGGGTCATTGATGACCTGTGTACCTTTTATTTAATCAACTCAAATGGGAGGGAAATAATGAGATCGAGTAGGAGTGAGTTAAAATTGACTGCACCCATTATTGAATTGGTTGTGCTGGATGATGTCAACTCGAAAAAGTCTTGCATGTAAGTATTGCAATGTTTTGCATTTGCATTTTAAGCCTTACATTTTCCATTTCATGTTGGACTAGGTATCTCATCTATTGCTTGTTTCTATATTATTTTCAGTCAGCTCATTGCATTTTTTATTTCTATGATGTATTTTCTTAGAAGATAAGTAAGCTCTGACATGGCTTCCTCTTAGGAGTGCCTTTGGCATTTTTACTGCAGATGGCTTGGTTCATTCTTTTGAGGTTTGTAAAGAACCCAGAGCAAGCATCTTCCCACTTCCCACCTTAAATAATCCCTTAAAAGACAGATTGCCTCGCCATGTATCATGTCTTGACTACCATCCAGATCTGTCTCTGGTTGTCTTAGTTGATGCTTTTAAAGTCTCAGAAAAACACCAATCTTTTTTTGGTAAGCCTATCAAATCTTCTGTATTTTTTGTTTCCGTGCTATTGACTATTTGACTGCCATAATCTTGATTAGTTCTGCAGTCTATATGCTTGTTATATGAAGGAAAATATTTTCCCCCTTATCTTGCCTTTTCAGGATTATATTCTCTTTATTTATTGCGGATGGCCACAAATTCAGATCCAAAGTTAGTATTCTGTAGTCCTCCGTTTGAAGGTCTATTTTCTTCTCCGAAAGGTCACTTTTCTCTTATTTCACCAAAAGTGTCCATCTCACCACAGGGAAAATATATTGCTACTCTTGATTTGACTGGTTGCATAGATGTTTTTTGTATTGATTCTGATACTCTTTCCGTTCTTTGCTTTGCTGAGAGGCTTCATTCACAATGTTCTAATAATGTGCCACAAAGGAGGAAAAATAACTTAAAGGATATTATTGACATCAGTTGGTGGACCGATAATGTTCTGATTCTCGTGAACACTAGTGGTTATTTGACCATGTATGATGTTTTAAATGATAAGATTGTTCTAAAGGAGGGTCCACATTTCTCTATGCCTGTCATTGGGAGGCTTAAGTACATTCAAGGACATGCTTTTTTTTTGGAGGGAGGATCTTGTGAGGGAGGACTATCAGAAACTGAGCAGACTGGAAGCAAAAAAGCTTCAAACATAAACGAGCTTTATGATTCCAAACTACACTGGAGCCTGCTATCAATTTCTAGGAGGTCTGTCTTAGAAATGTATAGCATTCTCATCCGTAATCAGGAATATCATTCTGCTTTGGAATTTGCTGATCGTCATGGTCTAGACAGAGATGAAGTAATTAAAGCACAGTGGTTAAGTTCGTGTTATGGAATCCAAGACGTGGATCAGTTTTTATGCAAAATCAGCGATCGGGAGTTTGTGCTGTCTGAGTGTGCAGACAAAGTTGGACCAACAGAAGGTGCAGTCAAGGCTTTGCTTTCATACGGGATTCATATCAGTGAGGATTACTTATTTTCAAACTTGGATAATGAAGATTCATCCTTACCTTGGGATTTTTGGGTGGCTAGACTTCAGTTGCTACAATACAGAGATAAATTAGACACCTTTGTAGGGATAAACATGGGAAGGTGTGTAACATTCTTAAGTTTATCATGAGGTTGGAGCTATATGCTAATCATCATTTTTGACAATCTTAAAACACTCGTAATTTAATGGAACAATATTTTACATTGCTAAATGAAATGCAACTTTTTAGCTTACATCTCCAAAACATCAACTTTGTAGCTTGTTGAAGTTCGATTCCTAGAAGTCAAATATTTAGCAGAATATGTTTTAAGTTTCCATTCTTGATAGTAGTTTTGAAGTTAAAAACAATATGCTCAAATGTGTACTTTCTAATCACTTATCACGGCCTTCCTTTAAATGCAAGATGAAGCTGTTCTGCCAAGTGGCTGACTCATTTAATAACGATTTAAAGTTTTCTATGAGCTTATTTATCAGCTTAAACACTGAATATTTATTCATGTAAAAAAACCATTTTTTGTGCATGGTTGCCTAAACAGCAACAGTGCCTCATAGAATTTAATGATTCTTTGCATGTTGGAATGATTTTTAATGAAGATGATCCAGGCGTTTTTTTTCTCTTTTAACTCTCTTATAGTTGGCTCTTTTAAAACTAGGACAACTTATTTTATCCAGATGTATGCATTTTTTGTTTGTCATGTATTGTTCTAAAACAGGTTCTTGCCTATAAGCTAACACATTAATAGGCGTGGATATATCATTTTCGTTTGTACAGATGATCTTGTTATTTTTATTTTATGAGGTCATTCTTTTTAAATTTTTATTCAGGTTTTCAGCAGAGGAATATAGCAATTTCCGTGCTATTCCGGTCACAAATGCTGCTGTTAATCTTGCAGAAAATGGCAAAATTGGTGCTCTTAACTTGCTTTTCAAGCGTCATCCTTATTCGCTTTCCCAAGATATCTTGCATGTTTTGTCTGCAATCCCCGAAACTGTCCCCGTCCAGTCATATGTTCAGCTCCTTCCTGGGAAGAGTCCACCAGCTACCATTGCTTTAAGGGAGAGAGATTGGGTTGAGTGCGAACGAATGATATCCTTTTTTGATAAAATGCCTGGTGGGACTGAGAAGATTATACAAGTGAGGACTGAAAATATCTTGAAGCTTTCTGTGGGTTTTGTTTGGCCATCAAGTGTTGAACTTGTTGATTGGTATACTAATAGAGCTAGGAATATTGATTTCCTGAGTGGCCAGCTTGAAAGCTGTCTTGCCTTGGTGGAGTTTGCATGTCGCAAGGATATTTTAGAGTTGCAACAATTCCTCGAGGATATAACATACCTGCATCATCTCATTTATGCTGATGGATGTTCTCAAGATTTTATGATGAGCCTTGTTGAGTGGGAACAATTGCCAGACTATGAGAAGTTTAAAATGCTTCTTAAGGGGGTTACAGTGGATTCTGTAGTAGAAACATTGCAAGAAAAAGCTATTCCATTTATGCAAAAGCGATTTCATCTTGAGCAAGTTGATTCCATTGAACAAAAGAATGATGTGATTGGTTTCATGCATTATAAAGAAAGTGATTCCTTTTTAGTTAGATGGATGAAGGAGATTGCATCTGACAACAGGCTAGATACTTGCTTAAAAGTCATTGAAAATGGATGTCGAGAGTCTCCAGTTTGTGGATTTTTTAAGGATGAAACTGAAATAGTAGAAACAGCATTAGAATGTATATATTCGTGCCCTCTTACTGATCAGTGGAATGTGATGGCATCCATCTTGTCAAAGCTTCCACGCAAATCATTAAGAGAGAAAACCTTGAAGGATATCACTCCGAAGCATGGCAATCTAGGTTCCCCAAGATTTTCTTACATAAGAAGTCACCTTTCAAAGCCAGTGAGGCAATCTAATCCGTTAAATTCACAAGAGGAAGACTCTGGACAACATATTTCTGGAGGCATTGATCAGTTCGTTTCTTCAATGGCTGATGATAACCTTGAGAAGAGAATAAAAAAAGCTGAAGGTCATGTTGAAGTTGGAAGGCTGTTGGCATACTATCAGGTTTGATATTTCCTAAATTAAGTTTTTTTTTTTTCGAGACCTGATCGAAAATTGCATTCGGTATTGTTTGCACTATGCCCACCTCCTCTAAAAAAACATAGAAGAATAAAGGTGGAGAAGAATTTCATCATGGACTTTGCTGCTTGACTCTATCTCCATTGGAACAATTCGCTATAGCTGCAAGCCCATATTTATCCTAATATAATGGAACATGCTTGCAAAATATTTTGAAATGTTCAGAACAGGCATATGCATTTCTATTTTAACTCATTTTATTTCTTCTACAAGCGGTAAAAATTACAATCATAAGCAAGGGTATGGTAAGAGCAAAACATCAAAATGCTTTTGCAAAATGATATTTTTAATTCGCAAATTTTTTAAGAAAAAATGAATTTATTTCGTATATAAATAATATTTTGTAAGATTTATGATCATCATCCTTATTCTAATTAGGGTCTGCTTTGAATTCTTATTATCTATTCATTCCTATTAAACACTATAGTATAAGTTAACTATATTAAATAATTTATTTTAGGACAATTTATAATCATGATCGACTTGGTAGGCGGCCTTGAGTCATTGTTACCACTTTATTTCAAGGATGTGAATGCTTTTTTGGACAACTACAATGATGGTAAGCGTCAAAGTTCCACAATTCTCTCATTGTCAAAATTGGATTGCTTTGAGATGAGAGCTAAATATTTGAAACCAATGCCTCTATTGTCATTGAGGTTTTAGTTGTTTAGAGTTTACACCATTTATACTAGAGAAGAGGAATAGGATTGGTGGAGGTAGAAAGAAAGGAGTAATACAATGGGCTTTAGGTGGCGGGAGGGTATGTGGGATTTTCAGAGGTGATGAGATCGCCAAAGATTCTTAGACCATCAACGTCATGAGGAGGGGTGCTTTATACAGCAAATAAGTATAAAGAGGAAAATTATGTGTATTTTTGTTTTTTTTCACTCAATTGACTAGTTTATTAATGGTATAACATTTATGAAAGAATCTTGTAGTTTAAGGATCAAAGTGGAGGGTTTTCAAAAGCTTAGATATTTATAAAGAATAGTTGAACTTAGGGACTGTCGTGGTATTTATCTTAAATAAAACATCCCTTTTAATTCAATAAATTCTAGTAAAAGTTTTAAGGATACAAGGATGGCTCATTTAGAAGGTTTTAATTCCTTTTGTAGCTTTGGTTTTGCCAATTTTTTTCTGATTTGTAAAAGGAAGTTAATGATTTGATATGAAATGTGCTGTGAACACCCTTTCCTTTTTTCACACTTTTACACCCCTCGCTGTGCATATTTTTGTTTTTTCTCATACATACACATATCAAGTGACATTCCATTTGGGAGGAAGAGAAAAATGAAAGATAATTCGCACAATTTTTTTTTTCTCCTCTGTTTGGTGAAATGCTGCTTGGCATGTTCGTGAAGGTGAGGTTATATTTATTTCAATCCTCTCCGTTGCTTCCCACACCATACACAAGCTCAAGATATATCTAATTAATGAGTGTTTTGTGCTTCTTTGATGAGCTAGGCCTACCCGATGGGATTTGACCTAGATATTTTAAACCAACATTGGTGCTACAATAGAACACAATCCTAATATGCATGTACTTGTGACTTCTAATTGAAATAGCTCTAATTTTCATACTATACAATAAATGCAGCCCATACCTTTTCACACGATAAGGCCCTATTCAGAATTGGCATATGCTAAGCGTTAAATTTGTTGATATTTCGTTATAGTTCTCTTGGCTAGGTTTCAAACATCGTATTTCTGTTGAGAGTCCAGACCTAACAATGGAGGCTCGAGATTTCAAAAAGTTGTGGTCTTTGTATTTCTAACAATAGATGCTAAAAAATAATAATGTATGTATGAATAGCCATTTAAAATTGTATAGTTATTTCCTTAAAAATATAGTTATATATATTTAATCCATATATTTAGCCAATTTGGCTAAGATTTCATTTTTGTTATCTCCCGCTAACCTTTATATTTTCTTTGGAGATGTTAAATTTTTAAATGCATTTAAACAATTGTAAACATTTTCAAGTTTTCAACATGATTCTTTCTGTAAAGTAGGTCATTAAATTGTAAATTCTCGAACCTCTGTATTGTGACAGACTATTCCAGATATTTTTTACGAATTATAATCTTGCAGTCTAATAGAAATAAATAGCAGGTTTGGTTCGAGTTTTTTGAGCTAATTTGAGCTTGGGTCCAACCTAGGGGTAGAAGCTGGAAACTTTGTCCAAGCCTAATATGTGTTCTTTAATGGAAACGCAAGCCCTACTGTATAAGATTGTGATTTCTACTGCAGATAACATTTAATAGCCCAAAGCAATATATTTAACGTTAGACAAGCTGTTGTTACCATACGATATAAATAGACAAAAATGAATTATGGTAATTCCTAATTGAGCCACTTTTGCTATACTTTAATGTTTTAATCCAAGCATGGTCCCTTATGTCAAGCTCCTACTTGACTATTTAGTTTTGACGGTGATGTTTCTTTCCCATTCCCAAATAAGCTGCAATATATTTAACGTTAGACAAGCTGTTGTTACCATATGATATAAATAGACAAAAAGAATTATAATAATTCCTAATTGAACCACTTTTTCTATACTTTAATGTTTTAATCCAAACATGATCCCTTATGTCAAGTTCCTACTCGGCTATTTAGTTTTGATGGTGATGTTTCTTTCCCATTCCCAAATAAGCTCTTTCATATGCTTGGTCATAGCTCTATTGCTCCACCCTGTAATACATTTCTTGAGTATTGTTGAAGTACTGTTCATGCAGATTATTAATGAATGTCTATTGTGATTTACCATACCAATTTTTATATTCCAAAAATTTTTTAAACCAAGTTTTGATGTGCCAGTGGTGTGAATTTACTTGTTTTGATGCGCTACTAAGCTTTACGTTTTCCTATATTTTCATTATTTTCAAGTACATTGAAATGATTAAGCTTTTGATCTGACTGTTTTAAGTACTATAAACTTCTTTGTTCCTGGATTATATGGCCAACAGTTATTCCAGATAATGCAAAGTCTGTTTCTTTTTTAGGTGCCAAAACCTATCAGCTTTTTTCTCAATGCTGAGTCAGATGAGAAGAATGTGAAACAGCTTCTTCGTCTCATTTTGTCAAAATTTGGACGAAGGCAACCGGGTAGATCAGATAGTGAATGGGCTAATATGTGGCAAGATATGGTTTGTTTCCAGGAACAAGCATTTTCTTTTCTAGATACAGAGTACATGCTAATTGAATTTTGTAGAGGCCTTCTGAAAGCAGGAAAATTTAGTCTTGCAAGGAATTATTTGAAAGGGATAGGTACCATCTCCTTGGCAACTGAGAAGGCCGAAATTCTAGTTGTTCAAGCAGCAAGGGAATACTTCTTTTCTGCTTCCAGTCTTTCTTGCTCTGAGGTTAGCACTTCAACGTTATCTATTGTCTGTATTAATGCAAATTCTTAACGAGAATCTTATATATCTAGTCTGGATGCCGCAAAATGCATGAAATGACATTTTTTTCATTGCAAAACGCTAGAACTTCTTACTCCTCGTAACCAGAAACCATACCACTCGTTCACTTGTGGAGACCATCTAGCTGTTCATTATAGCTATCAATGCCCCACAAGATATCATAGTAGATTGATAGTTCATGTTTACGTTTAGATGTTTCTCTCTTTTGTTTGAATTAGATTTAATGTTTTCTTTTAGATAAGGATAAATGCTGTTATGACATTACCTAGGTCATTCTACTCCTAAAACCAGCTCTTTTCTCTCTCTTTTAGAGCTTGATGAATTGAATGAATTGAATGATTGCTTTTATGACATTACCTGGGTCATTCTATTCTTATTTCATGGATACAGGTTTTGCTTCTGCTCATAGTTCCTAGTATATATCCATTTTAACATGTGAAAAGCTTTCAGTGGCACTATGATGAGAACTGAGCACATTTATCTGTTTTGCCAAGTTTTACCATCAGACTACATAAATATTATTAGTTGTCTTTAGTTGGTTACTGTGTTATGTTATAAATTTATGCTATCATCATTGTTGTAGACATCATAATCTTAATCATCATCACATCATCATTATCATCATCATTGTCGTCACTATTATCTTTATGCATGTTGCAATTGTTTGAGAAATGTTATCTTAACAGATATGGAAGGCTAGGGAATGTCTCAGTCTCTTTCCAAATAGCAAAGTTGTTCAGTCGGAGGCTGATGTTATTGAAGCACTTACTGTTAGACTTCCAAATCTTGGTGTGACTCTTCTACCGGTGCAGTTTAGGCAGATAAGAAATCCAATGGAGATTATCAACATGGCAATTTCAAGTCAAACTGGAGCATATCTTAATGTTGAGGAACTTATTGCGGTTGCAAAACTGCTTGGACTTGGATCTCCAGATGACATAGCTGCAGTTGAAGAGGCAATAGCCCGAGAAGCTGCAATAGCTGGTGATTTGCAACTGGCTTCTGATCTCTGCCTTGTGTTGGCAAATAAGGGCCATGGTCCTATCTGGGATTTATGCGCTGCAATTGCAAGGAGTCCCTATATGGACACTTTGGATACCAGCTCCCGGAAACAGCTACTAGGCTTTGCATTGAGCCACTGTGATGAGGAATCCATTGGGGAATTATTGCATACTTGGAAAGATGTTGACATGCATATGGACTATGAACATCTAATGATTTCAACTGAAACTTGTCCTCCAAATTTTTCATTCAAGGGTTCAACAGTAATACCACTTCCTGTAAATAGTCTTCAGGATATATTGAACCTAAGAGATGAGTCTAAAACTATAAGTAATGATCATAAGGAAGATGAAGATAACAATAAGGTTTTTTTTGAATGCCTCAAAAGCCTCCTTTCTGGAGTTGCTGAGGAGTGTTCAACCGAAGGTGGCATTACCTGGGATTCTCTGCTTAGAGAAAATAGGAAAGTATTATCATTTTCTGCTTTAGAACTCCCATGGCTTCTTGAATTGAGCCGTAAGGAAGAATATGGCAGAAAAATAACTCCTGGTACAAAAGCTCCTCCCGGAAAACACTCCATTTCTATTAGATTTCAAGCTTTGATCAATATCATCCATTGGTTAGCTGGAAATGATATTGCTCCAAGGGATAATCTACTCATCTCACTTGCTGAGTCCATTATGGTTTCCCCTGTGACTGAGGATGATGATATTCTTGGTTGTTCGTATCTATTAAATCTATTTGATGCTTTTCATGGAGTTGAAGTAATAGAGGAGCAACTAAAGCAAAGAGAAGGATATCAGGAAATACACAGCATCATGAATATTGGAATGTCATACAGCTCAATACAAAACTTGTTTAAAGAAGCCTCTAGTCCTGATCAGAGAAGGATGCTGTTGCTTCAGAAATTTCGGGATAAATATGAATCATTTGGTTCAGGTAATTTCTGGTGGTTGCAGTAGTCCTTTAGTTTAGTGGGCATGACTATGAGGCATATTGGCTGATCAAATTTTATAATAGTCAATTTTCTTTTCCTCCTCCAACGTTAGCCTCAAAATTTAGAAAAAAATTATCAAATGCAATGCTTCTATGAAACAATACGTATTAGACAATGGCTGGATTGTTCAGACTTTTTTTATTTATTTAGTTTGTTGAATGCTTGCACCATGTTTATGCCAAAATTTGCCTTCGAAATTAGGCATCATCTCCCTCTAAAATGGTTTTGAAATAAGAAATTTTTGGCTACATGTTTATACGGTTTGTTTTTTGTCTTTTTTTTTGGCTTAAGTTTGTTTAATTTAAAAGAAAACTTAAGTACATTTGGTATGTTTTGAGCAAATATGGACATTCATTTATTCTATGAACTTAGAAATCTAACTAATTTATTTGTTTGATAACAATGCTTTTGGAAAATGGTATGTATTTACAAGCTTTTTTTTAAATTTTTAATAGAATAATTAAAATTTTATATGACTATAATCATCTTCAAAGGCTAGGTTTAGTAATGATACTAAAAGCATAAAAATGTCCTAAACTTTAATACTAAGTATATGAGAAAAAAATTATTTTATTTATGGTTAACTAAATAACTTTGTTGTTTATTTTATCACGAAACTTAGTAATTATAATTGAATAATTAATAGGGAAACAAACAAAAATCCTAGATGCTTGAAAGTGCATTGACTAGGTATTTTAATTGCTAAACAAAAGGTAGGAACAATAATGATGTTGATTGGTGAATAAAGTATAAGAAAAGGTTGGAGTAGCTCCAGTGGAAGATAAGATTAGAAAGAGTCGCCTTAGATGGTTTGGTCATATTAAACGGAGGCCTTCCAATGAACCGGTTAGGAAAGTTGAGGTATTAGATTTGACTTATGTTAAGAAAGGTAGAGGTAGACCTAAAAAGACTTGGTTATAACTTAGAAAATATTAGAAATGATCTTTCTTTGTTAGATTTAAATGAGAATTTGACTTTTAACCAGACACAATGAAGAAAAAGGATTCATGTAGCCGACCCCACAGTGGGACAAAGGCTTGATGTTGTTGTTGGTGAATAAAGTATTAAGCCATTAAAGGAAGACTTGTTCTGATGTTACGAAGTAAATCACATGCGATCACATTTAACCATCTAAAGCGTTATGTACGTTTTATAGCTCTGGTTGGTAATGAGAAGTGGGGAGCAAGCAAAATATGTGCAAGAATATATCAACCCAAATCATACAATTCACTTAAAAACTTCCAAAACTCTCGAGCTTACTTTATACTTATGTGCATTCTATCATTTATATTAATTTATTTTTAAACCAATATACTCATGCAAATATTCAGCTTGATGAGCAGTTCAAGGCTACAAGCAAGATATAGATACATAGTTGATGCATTGATTCTAAAACTCGTTAGCTTACTTTATACTTATGTGCGTTCTATCATTTATGATAATTTATTTTTAAACCCAATAGTTACTCATGCAAATATTCAGCTTGATGAGCAGTACAAGGCTTCAAGCAAGATAAAAGTACTTGGTTGATGCATTGATCACTAACAGTTGCTAATAAAAGTATGTAGCATGCGAGGATGAACTACTACTTTGAAGAATTATGACCAATTGTTGTTAGTGTCAAACTCCACGGCCTTCTTGTCATCAGAGCAGACAATAACTAAATATCATTGGACCTTAACTTTTATATAGAAAGGTAACTGTCCATGAACTTTTTCAGTAGTTTGACATGTTCTAGGAGGTTCTGTTTGTAAAAACAAAATCCGGTTATGCTGAATTGGAAGTAATTTGTCAGATAGATTCATAGTTGGTTCAACCATGAATGAGTTGCTTATATTTAAATTTAATTTATGATTTTTGCTTGGGCTCAAGTCTTACATGAGCATAGGTTCAAGATTGGGTTTCAATTTAGGCTGGGATAGATTCATAGTTGGTTCAGATTGAAGTTCAGATTTAAGTTCGAACAATGTTTTAGTTTCAAGTTTAGCCCGAGAGTCAACCTTATATTTGACTTATATTAAGAATGATAGAGGTAGACCTAAAAAGACTTGATTAGAAAATATTATAAATGACATTTCTTTTTTAGATTTTGATGAGAATTTAACTCTTAACATGACACGATGGAGAAAAAAAAGATTATGTAGCCGACCCCATATAGTGGGATAAAGGCTTGTTGTTGTTGTTGTTGTTGTTATTGTTGTAGTAATTATATGAGATTGATTCGTAGCTAACAATTTCAACTTATCATTTTTTTGTTCCTGAATTTCAGACTTCGCCTCATCGTGGCGAGTTAGTTATTGTAATAAGGGATGATGATTCAACTTGATTAGGGTGAAGGAAAGATTTTGACGAGTGATGCTTCGGGCAAGTGTGTGTGAGATTCTTTAATAGCGAGTGAGAAAGAGTTATAGGAAATCTCTCATAAATGATAGGGAAAAATCGAATTTATGCATTTAATAGAGATTTGAGTGTGCTTTCATATCCATGCACAATACTTTTGCCTATAAATACTCTGGGTAGGCCATTCATATCGTGATTTTTTCTCGTGCTCTCTTTTTCTTCTAGCGAGGGCGCTTTTTTGGTGAGTCATCTCTGGGCGAGCTCTATGATGTCGAGTAGATGAGGTTGAATGTGCACTGGTGAATCTGTAGGCAAGTATTGAGATAAAAAGGTGGCCAATTACATATGTAGAAGCTCTGGTACCTCCTGAGAAGAGTAAGGCAAGTGCAATGCTATCGCGAGAAGGGAGAGCTCTGGCTTGAACAATTGCGGTGAGTTGAACAGAGGGTCCCGAAGATAAGCACTTTCATGTAGCTGAGTTTGGTAAGAACGATCTCCTTGGAAGAGAGCGAGTAATTGGGATAAGGTCTAGGCGTGTGGTGAATGTAAAGAAAGATTTCAATTGTGGCTTTGGGGGAGAGGAAGGGGCAGGCAAGTTTGGCAAAGAGAGCAATGAAAGATATATAAAGATTGAATCACATAAGTGATCACCAGATCCATGGACAAACAAGTAGCGGGGAACTATGATTCACATAGAATTGTAAACTTCTATAATTGAAATTTCTAAGTTCAACAAAAATCAATTTTTTCTCTTCAAGAAAGAGTTCTGCTCCACAAAGTGATTATTATAACAATAGCCTCTCACCCATAATGCGCTTTTTTAGGAATTTGACCCTGAAGAACTGAAGAATCATAAAATGATAGTATATTGGTGTAAGCATTCCATGTTAGCATGGAACCAAACTACCAAATCCATTCTACAGTAAATAAAATTACAAAAATCATCAATTTGGTTGGATCTGACTGAAGATGCCAAAGGGAAGGAGACGATAAACTTCCTTGATGTCTGCCATTAGTCTTTCTTGTATTAAAAAACATGAATCAGGATGTGTTTAGCCAATATTTTATTTTTTGTTTCTATGAACCATCTTGGCCTTTCAGTTCAATATATATATATATATATAATGTTATGTTGTCCAATTTCTAGATGAAAAATCCATATCCAAACATTGAGAGTATGCTAAAAAAATTTATTTGTACTCGGCTTGCATTCTTTCTTGATTTTATCAATAAAAAAGTTGATTCTTCATTATATTTTCCTTTTATAATCACAGCATGCTTGTTTTTATTAAATTTTCTGTTTTTTCGTGTGTGGCATTATTCTCTTACCCCAAACATAAGATAGCTATTCCATTGCCCATTTTCCACATCTAAAATAATGAAAGTTTGCCAAATCTATTTTTTCTGTACGGTTCTTTTGCTTATGTTCCTGATTTTATCAATCGAAGAATTTGTTTTAGTTTATTATATTTTCTTCATTTTTCCAGTGACGACATGAATGTTTTTATTAGCAGACAAAGTGGAACAAATTGACAAACTGCATTCTACATTTTGGAGAGAGTGGAGAACAAAATTAGAAGATCAGAAACGTCTAGCCGACCAAACAAGGGCGCTGGAGGAATCAGTTCCTGGAGTAGATACGTATCGCTTCTTGTCAGGAGACATTGAATACATCAGAGGTGTTATATTTTCGTTAATTGATTCAGTAAAGACTCAGAAAAAGCACATTCTCAAGGAAGTAGTAAAATTGGCAGATACCTATGGTTTGCCTCGCAGTGAGGTTTTTCTTCCTCCTTTTTCCATCAAGTCTTGCTCTGTTTAAGAACGTGTTTTTCATCATTATTTTTAATCTTTCTTGCTTGTTACATTTTTTTTTCTGCAGGCATTACTTCGATTCTTTGGCTCTGTCCTTGTATCCGAACAGTGGGAAAATGATGAAATCCTTGCAGAAGTTTCACAGTACCGAGAAGACATTGCCAAATGTGCCATGGGAATCATTGAAATCATTTCTACAGTTGTATTCCCTGAAATTAATGGGTGCAACAAACATCGTCTCTCCTATGTTTACAGCATTCTTTCTGCCTGCCATTTGCGCTGTAGTAAATTCGAAGAGCCAGCATTGTCACCTAGCCAGCATCATCAATTGCAAAAGCATATCGAGCCATTTCGGTTTTATAAAGCTCTTGAAAAAGAATGCCAAAGGGTATCCTTTATCAAGGAGTTAGACTTCAAAAATATTGCTAGACTAAATGAGTTGAACTATGACAGCTTTAATGAAGAAATCCTAAATAACATCAATGAGTCTACTGTAGAAGCTCTTGCAGACATGGTGCGTATCCTTGTAAGCATGTTTAATGATACAAATGAGAAGGGTCTTATATCATGGCAAGATGTGTACAAGCATCATGTTCTAAGTCTCTTGGAATCTCTAGAGAGTCGAGCTAGAGAAAGTCTTGTTGGCAAAACCCCAGAAGATTTGCAGGTTTTATTAGGGGAAATTGATCGGAATTTTGATCACTGCAAGCAATATATCAGGGCCCTACCAGAAATGGATATGTTGCGCATAATAAAGAGGTTTCTAAAGCTTTGTATACCTTTCAATTCTTCATGGAATCTAACTGACGATCCTGGATGGAAGTACTGTCTTGTCTTGGTCTTGAGTCTTTGGATTAAACTGGTAGAAGATGCACAAGTGACTGAATGCTGTGATGCTTCCGACAAGCCTGTCTCCTCCAATGAAAGGATCCTGCCCAAGTTTCTAAAGATCTTTGAAAAGTTTGTGATGGAAGATCAAATCTCAGCTAGTGAGGGCTGGTGCGTTATCATTAACTATGCTCATCAGGATGAGGGGATTCCTCTTTCAGACATACCATCTTTCTTCAAATCTATGATTGTTTCAGGTTGCAGGTTTTATTCAATTGCTAATTTATATTTTGAAGCACAAATACTCCCGTCGAGCTCTAGTACAAGTGGAAAGCAGGAGAGTCTACTGGATCTGTATACTAATCTCACAGAAACTGCTCTATCAAGTATAAGCCATGGCTTTGCTGAGCGGAGGAACTTGCACCAGTTGCTATCATCTTTGAGCAAGTTAGAGGGTAGTCATACAGATGATCTTAAGGTGATCCGGTCTCATGTTTGGAGAAAGCTGAGAGCACTTTCTGATAACATGCAACTAGAAAGTAACATAAAAGTATATGCCTTGGAGCTTATGCAGTGCATCACAGGACAAAACTACAGAAGTCTCCCTGATGAAATCGTTTCAGAGGTTCAGCCATGGGAGGATTGGGATGACTCTTGTCAGTCAAAGACCCTAACGCATGGAACAGATGGATCCACAAACATAACAAGTACTCTAATAGCCTTGAAATCATCTCGGTTGCTTACACCAATCATGCCATATATCAAAATTACTCCCGAAGATCTTAGTAGCCTAGACTCAGCAGTAAGTTGCTTTTTAAATCTATTTGAATCTGCAAATTCAGCCGAGGACGTTGATGTGCTGAAGGCTGTTTTAGAAGAATGGGAAATATTATTTTCCGGCACCACTGACGAGGAGGAACCCGAGAAATCTACAAAAGAAGACCCTGATTGGAACAATGATGACTGGGATGAAGGCTGGGAAACCCTTCCTGATGAACTACTGATCAATGCAGACAAAAAGGAAAAGCAATCACATTCTATCCGTCCGCTTCATGCCTGTTGGATGGAGATTATCAAAGTACTTATCACCCATTCCAGACCCATTGCAGTAATGGAATTACTGGACCAAGTATCATCCAAATCTGGTGGGATATTACTAGATGAAGAGGAAACAAAGTCTCTGTTTCATATAATAGTTGAGATAGACTGCTTCATGGCTCTGAAGATTCTCTTGCTTCTCCCTTATGACGCCCCCAGGCTCCTTTGCTTTCAAGCAATCGAGTTGAAACTTAAAGAAAAATTTCCCCCTCCCAGCAGTTCTAATGTCAATGAATCCGAGCTTTTGCTGCTTGTGCTCTCATCAGGGGTCCTTCAAAGCATCATTTCCGATCCCAGCCTTGGCAATTTCTTCTCTTACTTGTGCCATCTGGTGGGGCATCTGGCGAGAGATTGCCAGGAAGACATGCTCAAATACAGAAATAGTAGAACTGGCAGAGCAAACCGGAACAGGTTCTTGGTCTTTGGCAAGCTTTTGCTGCCATGTTTCATTGCAGAGCTTGTACTAGCGAAGCAGGGCATACTGGCTGGATTTATGGTGTCCCAGTGGATGCACACACATCCTTCGCTCGGCCTGATGGATATTGTTGAGGCAAGCCTGAGAAAGTACTTGGAAGGTCAGTTGCTTCAGGCTGAAGATTCTGGGAGCAATGACTTGGGTGCTTTCGGGTCCTTCCAGTTTAGTGTTTCCAGGTTGAGAGGTAAGCTCAGCACCTTGGTACAGTCCGCTCTTTTAGCTCTTACAACAAATATTTAATAGCTGAGATTAAATATTTGTTTAGAGGGAGCTGCATAGTTTTTTGTTTTTTGTTTTTTGTTTTTATAACTAATTACCGATCAATAGAATGAGCGATTTATCATTATATTTTTAGTGTTATATCTAATATTTACTATTTACAAGGCCGTGATGTAATTTGCGAGTTACATTTTATCAGAAATTATTACTAATTTTTCTTGGAAGTTTCTCAGATTTGGTGCATCCGCCGAAGTTATCGTGATCTTTAAACTTCTATTTTCACACTAGAAAACTGTAAGAAACTCGTCCCAAACAAAACCCGAATTTTAAAAAGCATATGAGTATTTGATAGAGGCGTAAATAAGTCGAGCCAATTGAGCCATTCTTAATTTGAGCTTGAGCTTCATTAATTTATCGAGTTCGAGCATGTGCTTATATATTATAGTTATAGTAAAGTCCTTATATTTATTCATTTTTTAAGAAAATAGATATATACCAGGAAAGTTATAAATTGTGCTAATATAGTATAGTTATATATAGTAATTGAAAGCCAATCATCCAATTTTTTTGCTTGAAAATCTTGTTGTTAGTAGGCCTCTACTTCAATTTTTTCAAATATTTCAATTTCAATTTTTTTTCATGCATTCCTTACTATTTAATAAAGGCATACTCTTTTATTTTATTTCATTAAATACATCCAAAAAAACATCATAAACTATTATTAAAATACTCATTTATTATGTAGGAATACCATATAAAGAAGAGTGTATATAAAATGGGTATAGACATGGTGGTCGATATCATTGTCAAACCAAGTGAATTATGCTAATCAAGTTTGTAAATAAATGCCTATATTATATATATAGTTATTACAGAGAATTAATATAACTGGCCTTGATTGGAGTAATTATTACGTCCGGACACCGAACGCATCCAGTGACCAATAATCATGCGCCACGTCACCTGGAGCTCAGTATCGAGCACTCGGTATTGCTCAGTATACGTCCGGATTTTCGATTTTTTGTCCGGACGTAATAATTTTCCCCTTGATTGCTGCTAGGTACTCTGCATTCTTTAAATATAGTATTATAATTTGAGAGCTCATATAATGGTGTGTAGTGTGTACAATCGAATAAAAAATTATAGGTATTAGTTGTGATGTAGAGCCTTATATACACTCATTTAAGTTCAATTTAGGGATGCATGACTGTATATAGGTTTTTGTTTTTGCAAGTTAATCAAACTCTAGTTATGTGTATAACTATTTAGTGACTAAATTCAAAATAAATGGTAAGTATAGTTATATACAAGTATTTTATAAAGATCTTTAAATTTTAATGTTGTACAAATAATGTAGAGCTTTAAACTCAAAATAAGGGATACATGCGATGAAGTATATGTATTAAATTTGATATATCATAAAAAAATTATCTTGGTCGGGCACGAATCTCAAGGCAAATTAAAACTTCAATTTTAACTTTGTTCAAACTTGTAAATTTTTATTCAAACTTCTACCATGGCACAACACACTGTGTACAAGTGTTCTGACTTCAATTTTAACTTTGTTCGAACTTGTAAACTTATATTCAAACTTCTATAGGTTTTTTATAGAGTAAATAAATGGCAAATAAATATTTTCTTTTGTAGATGCACATCACAAAGGTTAATTTCTGTTGCAGACCTTCAACATTTAGAACTTTATGCGATTCAGAAATGAAGTGCAGAATATTTTGAAGAAGTTGAATATATTACAATTTAATGTGTTCCCACGATTTCAATAAAATACAGCATTAATCTACATGTTGCTATTATGTTGGAATGTGAGCAAGCAATCATTCATCATCAAAGGGTGGGAGCTTAGATTTATAGCATATTAAGTTGTTTTATTTACATGTTTGTCAAACAGGGGAGATATTATTAATTGGAAAGCTGAGCCACTCACAAGCTACACTGGAATTCAAATTAACAATGAAATGAAGAATATTAATAAATCAACCCACGTTGAAGTTATTGTTAACATGTACAATAAGTTTTTGTTATCCATTTTTTTTCCAACAACAACTATAGAACCCTTATGAGGCTTCTTAATATTTCCTAGAATATAGATGAGTTCAATGGATATAATTGGGCTATGTCAATTAAGGATTTCTTAGTTAGTCAATTTGATCAAATGACTGTAAAGTATGCTGAAGATGTCTCCGTAAGATACATAAGTAACTTTATTCTATTGTTAGGTGAGTACTCTTTTTCACTTATTTTACTAATTTTGTAAGTTTTTTAAAGTAAATTTATTCCTTGCAAAATTTTAACTATTCATCTAATGCATATTTGATTTTTAGAACACACATCATTTCTTGAACCTGCATTGTATGATGTTGGGATAACAACATTTTCTTTTCAGCCATCCAAATCTTTGAAATATTTAGTGATTTTAATGATGAACAGGTATGTCCATATCTCTACATAATATTTACTTTTTTTTAACTGCTTACAAGCATATACACACTGTGTGCAAGCATATCGCTTGTATTTAAACACTGCACAATCTATCATAATTATTGTACACATTATGTACAACCATGTAAAATTTGTAATTAAATACTACACAATCTAAAAAGGTTGTGCACACACTTTTAAATTTTAAAATGTTGCACATAATGTGTACAACCCTAAAAACATGCTGTACATAGTGTACAACCTTGTAAAATTATAAAACAGTGTTGAACACACTGTGTACAACCCTAAAAAAAAATTGTACACATTGTGTACAATAAAGTTTATAAATTTAAAGCGTTGTACACTGTGTATAACCCTGTAAACTTGTTGTACACATTGTGTACAATTAACGCAATTATGTACACACTAATATACAATATTTCTATAAATAAGGTTTCCACACTTCTGTGAATAATATTTAATAGATCTTATACATTGCAGATTTTTCATTCATTTCAAAATGTTATTGAGGAAGAAGAAGCATTAATTATTGAAGACTTCCTAACCGCAAAAACATTCCCACCACATCCTACCCTTGAAACCCATAAACCTCTTTCCCCTCTTTCCCATGTTTCCCTTATTTCCCTTATTACTCATATTTCTAAAACTCTTGAGCAAGTTGAACCTATTTCCCCTAAGGAGTCTTATCTCCCTCAGTCCCCTTTGCATCCTCCAAAAATATCCCCTCAGACCACTTTGCAATCTCCAGAATATATTCCTATCTTTCCACGTCAGTCCCAGTCACCCAATGAGAATATTTTGAAAGCATTAAACAGGGCTTTAAAAATCGGAGCAAACTGGTCGGTCTGATTGGTCCAATCGGGAATCGATCTAAAGACTGGTCCGGTTTAACCTGAAAATTGGCTTTGCTTCAAACCAGCCAGTTTTGGCAAGAATCGCTAGTTCAACTGGTGAACCGGCAAACGGGTCCTGGTTTTTTAAAATCGGATAGTTCAAAATTTTTTAATATAAAAAATTAAACAAATGATTTAGTATTAAATAAATATTAAACTTAATTACAATAAATATAAATATTAATATTAAACTCTTAAATTTGTATTAAACACATGATTAAATATTAATTTCAACAATCAGTTAATGCCAAGGTTTTGGAATGCACATGTTCTTTAAATATTTTGAAATTAAGGTTGAAATGTAAAAAAATTGAAAAAAAGGACCATAACAAAATTATTGTGCATGAATATTTTATTCTAGGCATTTCTCATAAGAATAATATAGAAGAAAACATAATAATCGGTAAAAATTTACCGATAAGTTTATATCAACGCTCCTCCATCCATATTGTCTTTCAATTCGTCCAACCTTACCATCTCAGCACTCTGTTATGAGCATATCGTACTTCTTATCTAAAAGTCTTTAGCCTCCGCGTACTGTGAGATTTGAACGTCATCAAAAGCACTATCCATCTTCTTCTTTGGACTGTTCTACGTTGAAAATTTTGAAGATTAATCAGGAAAAGTTTTAGGGGGGGGGGTTTACATACATGCAACTTTATTACATCTATATTACATATTTAACACTCAAAAGTTAAATATTTCATTCCTACCACTCAAAACACTAATTTTAAAACAAAAATACCACTCCGTCTCGCGAACCCTCACTCTGTCTCCTCCTTCCTGTGTTAGCTATTCTTTCTGTGCTAGAATTCCCTCTTTGTCGATGACTGCTGTTGGGCCTTTGATATCCTCGTCCAACACCTGCCAGTGATCACAGGCTATTTCTTCTGTAAAAAGCTAAGAACTGCTACAAAATTTCATCGAAAGCGGAAAGAAGTATTTTGCCCAGACCTTTTCGTTCTTCTCCATTATGTAGTAGAAGATATCAAATTCGAAGGGTACTTGATACCCAAGAAAGTGTCGATCAATTTTAGTGTTGCGGAAATGGCTTTGGATGAGAAGATTTGGGAAGAAGACATGAAATTCAAGCCTGAGAGGTTTATGGAGGGAGGATCAACATAAAAAAATGGATATAATCGAAAGTAGAGAGATCAAAATGATGCATTTTTTATCTAGAATACTTTGTGGCCAATCTTGTAGAGGAATTCGAGTGGAGAAATGTGGGAGGAGAGGAGATTGATCTTTGAATATATATTTTTATCTGAAATACTTTGTGGCCAATTTTGTAGAGGAATTCTTAGAAATAAACGTTTTAGTGGAAGAGCACACGAGTAACTGAGTAGGACGCACACGAGAGAACAACTAATGCAGGAAGGAAGAGACGGAGTGAAGGTTCATGAGACTGAGACGGAGTGGTATTTATGTTGTAAAATTAATGTTTGAGTTGTAGAAATGTAATACTTAATTTTTGGATGTTAAATGTATAATATAGATATAATAAAGTAACATTTATGTAAATCCCCCAAAATTTTATTTGCGGTAAACTCTAAAATTTGTGAACCAGTCACAAAATTTTTTTTTTTAAAAGAGTGCCAATTAAATATCAGAGAAAAATAGCCGGCGATATCTTCGAGTTGCTTGATAATAAAAATATACGCGTGACAACAAAAAATAATTAAATTCAAATAATATGTATCTATATATTTTTTGGGACATTTATAGGCCATTTAAGACAAATTCACACACACAACGCATACACAAAGACTCGAACTCAAGACCTCTTAATTTGAAAGTATAAGCTCTGAACCAACAAGTCAAAGTGAGCTGTATAATATGTATCTATATTCCTATCTTGGAGTCTAGACCTAGGTATATCCGTACTCGCACCAAATAACTTCTCGTCCGCCTGACTCTACGGTTCAGCGCGGATCCGCACTTTTTCGCTTCTATTGTTCTTCTCGTGCTTACGAGCGGATTCCGTGGATTCTTCGAGGGAAAGAACTAAAGAAGGGCAGCCATGGACTCCGCCGTCGGCGAGGAGCTTGGCGTGGGCTGCTTCTTTTCGTTCCGGACAACACTCGGCGAGGAATTCGAGGGCCAGATCATAACCTATGACCGCCCTACGAACATCGTCCTCATTCATATCCTTCTCTAATCAATCTTCGATTCTTCTCTGCGTTCTTATTTTTCTTTCCATAGTTTGGATTTCTTGACCTTGATAGCGCACAAGAGGGTGCTTGGAAGCCGGGCGGTCGCCGGAATGTTCGTTTTCTGAAGACGACCTATATCAAGGATCTCACTTTCCTGCGACGCGGTGATGACCCTCTTGACAACAAAAAATGCTTCCTCGATCTGGCCGGATTGCAGGCAAGGGAGGAAGCTGCTCTAAGGTATTATCAAGTTAGGTTTTTCCTCTTTTGATTCACGTTTGGTTTGGCCTTTATAGGTTCGGGGGAATAAATTTTGGAAAAAAATTTAAGTTCTTCATCTTTCGTTTTGCTATGGGCTTGCATTTTAGATTGAAATGATATCTGATGGGAATCTTAAGAATGTTAAGTCACTTGCCTCTTTTTGTTGCTGAGTGGTTCACGGTTCGATTTTAGGCAAGCTGAAATAGAAGCGGAGCGAATTGGTGTTGGCGTCACTGGCGAAGCCCAGAACATTTTTGATGCATTATCTAAGACGTAAGTGCAAGTTTCTCTTTTATTATTTGGCAGTTCAATGTTTTTATTAGGTATAGTAATGTTAAATATCGTTCCTTGGAGAAAAACAAATTGCTATTTCTTTCAAGCCAATGGTTTTTTGTGTAAAGTCATAAATTCAAAATTTGAACTTTTGAGCTCAATTTTATTAGGTATGTGCTTTCCGCTGGCTATAAGACTGGTAAAAGCACTCAAAACTTAGCAACTTGCTTGAAAATTGCTAGAGTTTGGCTCTATTGTAAAATGTCTCAAATTGATTTCAAGATTTGCTCCGAATTCAAGTTTTCCTTTGCTTGTTTGAATACAATTCAAGCCTATTCTAAATGTAGTTTATAATGAGTTTTTATATAAAATACGGAGTAAGTATAACATAATTAATGTATAGCAGATAATGTCATATTTATAATTACACATTTACTTAAATTAAAATGCAATTTTTGACTTGAAATCGCATTGTTTCAAGTCTAATTTGCTCAACTTTAAATGATGATTTGGTGTCTAGTTTGAGTTGAACTGGAATCAAAATATTCAATTTCCAATATGGCCAAATTGCTTGAACTCGACTCAATTTCAATCCTAGCTTGCTGCTTTGACTATGCTCTTTTTTAATAGATTAATTGTCTTAAGGTTATGTGAACTATTTTTAACTCATGATTTTGATTTTTTTGTCATTTTTTATCTTGATAGAAATGATTTGAAATGATCATGGTGAGATGAGCACTGGAAGGCTAAAATTGGCACCTTATCTTATTATTCAAAGATGTTAAGATTCAAGCATGGGCCTAGACATAATCATTTGCTATAAGAGCACTTTGAAGGGATGTAGTCACCTTCAATTCCCATTATTTACATGACAACAAGTCCATGGATACTCACATCTCAAATTCTAAAGGTACCATGTTATAGTTAGGAAAGTTAGGACAGAGGTGTCCTATCCTAGTTAGGAATCATAGGATGGGCCCACATCCCTAGGAAGCCATCTTGGGGAAGCAATGTATCACAATTGTTTTATATATATTGCAACTTATATTGTTGCACCATCTGACCAGTAATTAGATAAGGTTTTCATTGCTTCTTTTTGATGAGATGCGTTATCCATATAGCTTTCATGCATTTTTTGTGTAGGACATTCCCAACAAACGCCACTATATGGCTAGAAGCATACTTTAATGGTTAGACATAATAAATTTTCAATAGGAAATGACCTGATATTAAGAATTTTGCATCTTTAGAGTGTTCATCATGTTGTTTGCTTGGTCCAACTTCTCTCCCTTTGAACATGACACAATAAATCAACCTCCAACCCCAACTAAGGGGACATATGGATTATTAACTTGGTTATTTGTTAACTTTATTTGTAAGGCTTCCCGTCACGAGCCTTATGTCCCTTAATTCTCCATTTAATTCATGGTCCCACGTCATTAGGGTATAAACTTTTTTCCTCTAACTTCTCCCACATCCTATCCCAATCGTTACTAGAGTTAATGTACTTCTATATTTCTAGTTTGGTTTCTAGTGGGGAAATTTTGAAATTTGTGATTCTCAGTGTGAGTTTCATCTTGTTTGTGATGTAATTATATTTTAAGATAATGATTTTCTTAGAATTTATTTTATTCCTTCATTTAATACATATTTACATTTATGGTTCTAAATCTTATTTGAGTGGAAGAGACCCAAAAAATGCTACCTTATTTAGTATCAATATATTTGGCTCATCATTATCCATTGTCACTTTGATTAATCCTATTCAGTTATTTCAGCATGTTTCATGAGTTCTTCTCTATTTATTCCTATTGAGTGCAAATTTTGTGCTCATCTTTTTTTACAACTTCCACATATGCTGATTTTGGTTTCTCTCTTTTATCAAATTCATCTTAAAATTATCATTCTGGTCACTTTACTTGTTTTTGTTGCCTACTAATTTGATTTATATACCTTAACTAGTCTAGTTTTTGCAATTTTATATATTTATCTTTTGATGTTTTCATGAAATCCACTTATTCCCTAGTACTTATGAGACACTTCTCTAATGTGGCAATACTTCATATGCATTGAAGATAGGAAGTAGTCAATCCTACTATTTCTATGATTGGAGGTGCCTTCACCCCCATCTGTTCTTGCATCACTGAACTGTTTACTATCTCAATATATTTTTTGCTAATTTGAGGAATATTAAACTGTCACGGTTCTAGCATTCAGCATAATATTGTTGGCCCATGATAATTTTGCTTTATTTGAATCTGCTCAAGACATGCAATTTTCTATGTACATTTAAGATACAAAGTATGAGAAAAAACAACTTTTAAACCTGAAAATTTCAGAGATAAATATGTTCATAAGCTAACTTGAATGACAGAAAAAGAAACATGTATTATACATATTTGTTGTTTTAAATTATGTGCATATAACATATAGTTTGTGATGATCTATATTGCACCGATACGGATATGGCGACACAGATACGACACGATACAAATACAAGACACGTCAATTCTTAAAAATACAAGATACGGGTACGGCGCGGATACGACATTATGATATATAAATCATACATAAAAATTAAGAAAGTAATCAAAGCGTAATATTTGAAAGACAAAAAAAATTTAAAGCAACATCATCTGTAGCATTTTATCTTATAATATCAAAATAAAAGTAAGCATAAAATATTTAAATGTCTAGTACAACAACAAAAACAAAAACATAAATTATCTAGCACATGAAGTTTCAACGAGTATGTTCTCCAATTTCTTTCACAACAAGATAAGGATGAAACTTGACCAAGCAATTTTATGGCGATTATTTGAAGTAGAGGTGCTGAAGCTTGATGTATAATTCATCATATTTTCGGATCAATTCTCCACCTATCACGCAATGGCTTTTGGTCACCAAAGTCCTCTAAATAATAAAAAAATTTAGCAAGCTCAATATTAGTAATTCTTTTCTTCTCATTTAGAAAATAACGTTTCAAACATGTCTTCCTCATATTTGAAATTTTTAAATCTTTCTGTGGAGAAACTCTTTGAGGATCATCTTGAAGTCATTCTTTAGTTGAATATCTTCAAATAGCATTAAAAATAAATAATGAAAAAATGTTGAAATTACTAAACAACAAATTGTGAATTAATAATGAAAAAATGTTGAAATTTACTTGGGATTTAGTGAGCGAGCCAAGCAATTTAAAGGTGTATTACTTTTGCTACATATATCTTTTAGAATAACATAAATAACATCCTAAAAGTTTGAGTGTTCATGAAGTGCCTTCCTCTCATGTCTATATATAATTTCTTTTACTTTGGCTAGCATTGAATCTCACATCTCATTAATGAGATGTAAACAAGACTTGTCCATATCAGCTCTCTTAACATCTCATAAATTGGATATGTGAAATTTATGATGTATTTGATCTTATCCCACCATAAATCTTCTAAAAGCTTCTCCTTTACATACCTAGCCTTTCCAACATCATCTTTCCTATAACAGAATCAGTTGTCACTGATCACCATAGCTTGAAGAGCATTTTTTATTTTTTTGAATCTTCTCAACATCACTATAACTGAGACAAACTGAGTTTTTGTAACTGCAAGCATCTTCAAATTAGAGAAATCATTTAATAAAAAGAGTCTCATGGAGTGATTCATAATAAAATTTTTAATTACAACTGCATCTCCAGCAATTACTGTGATCCAATGACATTCATTGTAGGTGATTTCATTTGCCTTAGTATTCTTAGCTGCACAAATGTTCTTCAAGGCAAGATTAAGTGTATGCACAACACATGATATCTAGAAAATATGAGGATATACTTGCTCTACAAGTAGACATGCAGATCTACAAACAAGTGCATTATCAGTAATAGATGCATTATCAGTAATGATCTGGATGATGTTTGAAGGCACCACCATGATAATTTTTTTGATTAAATTAGAAATGAAGAACTTATCCTTGTATTGTTCTTCATAATTTATAACTTTGATAAATATAGGATAGCTCTTTGTTACAGCCATGAAGTTGATAAGTGGTCTTTTTGTGGATCTGTCCACCCATCACAAACCAAAGTAACTTATTTTTCCTTCAAAACTCCTCTGGTAGGCTCGAGCAACTTCTCAATATTATCCCTCTCTTTGCAACAACTTCGTTCTAATGACATTATATTCTGATGGCACGTATCCTGTAAGATTACTATTGCATGCGTAAGTAAAGACATTCTTGTAGTGTGGATTTTTTGCTAGGTTAAAAGGAAGTCCAACTGAGTAAACATTCTAGCTATTTCTCCATCTAATTGTTTTCTAATTTGTAAATTAAATGCTTTCTCCAAATCACTATCTACAATATTTTTTTTTCTTTTTAGTTTATATCCCTCAATTCAGAAAGGTCATTTGTTTACAGTACTGTCATCACTTCTAATTGAAGAAGATGACGAAGAATATGAAGCATGGGTGCTTGGAAGTGAAATCTATTTTGGAAAGTCTTTTTTACTCTTTTGCTCAGCTTAACTGATTTTCCTTTATAATTTAGCCATTTGTGATGAGGTTATCTTCGGACATACTTTAATTACATTACCACTAATCTTCAACAAATGAACTTTCACTCTATACTATAATTCTTTATATGTGGCATTACAGTAATTGTATTTGAATGCAATATTGTCACCCCTTCTGACGTTTTACCTATTTTTGTTACATAACCCCACAGAGGTTTGTTATCTTCAATATTTGTCTTTGATGGACCATCATCAGACCTAATTCCTATGTCACTAGAGGTCATTATCCTACGAAGGATCGACACAAATTAAACCACATGAATTCGAAATATGAAATTTTTTAAGTAAAAGTGTAGATATGTTGCAGATATGCCTGGGGTCCAAGGGGGCGTTGCGCCCTAGCAGGGTGCGTCCCTGCGGGGGTTTCCGGGGCAGAGCCCCCAATACAAATTTTTATTGTAAGAATAATTTTAAAGCTCTCTCTAGCTTCTTGGTGCCGCTT